ACACAAATAAAATTAGACGGACACACGGCTAATGTTTTCTTTAGATTAAGAATAAAATAACGAAAAATGAAATAAAAATAGAGAAATAAGAAAATAAAATGTAAATAAAACACCAATGATAAAAATACTTTATTTACATGAATAGAACCAAAAAAGTATTTATTTTCTTAACATAATTTTAGTAATTAAAGAAATAAAGTATATATTATGTTATTTTTTCTTAACATCAAATTAATTTAAATAAAATAATTTGACGTCATACAAAGTATTTCTTTTTCAGATATAAAAAAGGTGATTTCTTATCATTGGATACTAACTGGGGTGGTGTGATATTCGTGTTCGGTCTTTAAAGAAAAACTATTTTAGGTGCGTGTGTGTAGAGGGTGGGGGGGGATCCTTCGTGGTGGGGGTGGAGGTGGGGTTGGGTGGTAGAGGGACATTTCGAACCCTAGATACGTAGAGTATTTAAAAATACCTATTTGTGAATGACCCCAAACGAAACACCCCCACAAATCCCCCCATAGTCTTTTGTGTCTTTCTCTCTTTTTTTTTCTTTTTCCCAAAAAAAAAATATGAAATTAGATTAGTTTATCCTAAATCTCTCCTTCTTTCTGAAAAATAACGTGTAAAGATATGACATCTTTCCCAATAATTTTGAGTTCTTTACGTCTTCATTTCATTGTAGATTGCAATGATCATATTGTACTATTTAGTCTGCAACATATATCCAACAAACCTCAATTTGTCGAGTTTGCAATGAATGATTGATTGCCGTTTTTTTTTGGAAGTTAACACATTTGAATGGTGATAACACAATCTGCAAAATTTCACCACACTGGGTAAGCCTAATAAGATTGTCCAACCTCATTAAGGGGAAAGTGAAGTTTGTCATGAGACGACTAACTCAATTTTTAATGCTAATCTTTGCCAGTGTAGTATTAGTTGGATTTGGATTTTTTAAATTAATGGGGTGTTTAGAGAGTAAATTTTAAATTTATAACAGTTATCAGAAATTTATCTGTTTATTATAACTATGAATTAAGTCTGTGTTATTCAACTAGAGCTTCTTCATCTCAAATAAAACGCGTTTTTCAGTTACACAAAAAATTGCTAGCATCTACCAGAGCCACACTTTCAGCTAATATTTTGAAGGGATAATATTTCATAATCTCAAATCATTAACATCCTGCAGTTTTCAATTTGATTCTAGAAATGATTAATTATCAAGAGAGAGGAAGAGAACAAGAGAGCATGATATCTTATTGGAAGACAAGATCCCCCAATTTTTTGAAATGCTGTTTGCAGAAAATTTGTATTCTTATCTCACAATTCAATGATATTTGCCCCCTGCCACCAGACAAAATGTATGTTCTATTGAATATTCAAAACAAATTTTTTTAATGGGAAATTCAGCATTCAATGATATAAGAAATGTTTAATAATAACGATGATGAAAAAATACTTTGCTACATTCAAATTACGAAATTGCTTGAGAAATAATTGTAAATTATCTCATTGCTTTTAACTAAGAAAAATAAGAGCAAAAGAGAGAAGTATAAACTAGAGTAATATTATAAACAAGACAAAAAAAAAATGAAGAGCTTAATTGATCTATGGTTGATGTTTTGTTCTTCATTTCTTTTTCAGTTGTTATGTTTATGAGATCCTGTTAATGACAATGTCACTCCTTTTGGGTAGCATGCAATAATTCGGAACTAACAAATAGTGTTGTTAAATAATGTTGTATAGACAATATAACTTGGGAAATTATGGTGAGATAGCTTAATATGGATCACTACTTGTAGAATTTCTCAAATAAAAAATCTTCAGTCACTTTACTTTCATATGTGATGTTATCCTCCTTAAAGTAACATGAATATCATTAATATTAGGGTGTGATGGATCTCTCCAACGAATAAATAATGGACTCTGTTTCCATCTTGCAACCAACTATGAGCACTTTGTTTCTTAATTCCTTGCTCTTTCATCAGAACCCTGATTCTATGAACATCCTTCCACTTGCCAGCAGCGCATATATATTGGACAGATAACATAAGCACAGAATTATTAGGATCCAAATTCAAAATTCTTGTAGCTGCCAGTCCCCCAATTCTATTTAAAGGAACACTACAGGCCGCTAGCACAGCACCCCAGATGCGGAATCTGCCTTGAATGGCATTCATGGATAATTTTGCAAGCTCTGCGCAACTGACCTGCTCGACTCATCACATCAACTAAGCAAGCATAGTGTTCAGGCCTTGATGGAATGCCATAATTGTGAACCATCAAACTGAATAGATTCATGCTCTCATCGACTTTCCCAGCACGACAACACGCAGATAATAAACTCAGAAAAGTTATGCCATCAGGTTGAACACTGATGTCACCATCTGGTCAAAGTAGAAGCGTGCTTTGTCATAGAGACCATGCTGAGCAAAGGCAGCAATGATAGTGTTCCATGAAATTACGTCTGGATGGGAAATTTGTCCAAAAACTAGCTCAGAATCAACAATGCCACCGCATTTGCTATGCATAGTAATCAGATTATTACTCACCGACAAGTGTGACTCAAAGCCATGCTTAATTACAAGAACATGCACCTGTCTTCCTTCTTCAAGTGATGCGAGACTGGCACAGGCAATGAAAACTGAAACAAAAGTCACATCATCTGGTCGCATACCAGTCCTCATCATATGTGAAAACAAATTCAGTGCCTCTTCCCCTCTCCCATTTTGAGCATAACCTACAAACGGTGAATCGATTGTGAAAAGATGGAATAATAAAAGAAAAAATATGCAATGACAGAGTAGAAGAAAACAATCTCCTCCTTCTCCTAGGAATACATGTTATTATTTTATTTTTTCTACAGTTAATAAAAAAATGTGCTATAAATTGATAAGGCTTTTTCAAATTGAGATTAATTTTAGAGCAAGCCAGGAACACTCCCCTTTGATTTAATTTAAAAATATATTGTGATCTAGGTGCCTTTACTGAAATTTAGGGGTTTACACACTTTTTTACACACTTTTTACATCATAGACTTAGGTTCGTTTGTTTATACTTAAAATTTATTTCCTGATCCAATGTGATTTTAGATTATTTTCAATTTCTATCTCTAATCTAAGCAGGAAGGAGTAGGTTTTTTCCCAATACCTTATAGAGTCAAACTCAGACTTAACCAAAGGCATGCTAGAATACATGCTCTTGCAGGGTAAAGTTTTCCTTAATCTTGTTCTAGAAAAGAAATCAATAACAAAATAACTAGAATCCTAATAACCTACCTTATTTCGTTTGTGTCTCTATCTATTTACTGAATTAAAAACCAAACAGTTTTCTCAAGGAGTAAGACACCTAATGATATGCCCTATAAGGTATAATAAATTATCTTATTAAAATCACGGACACTGTTCGGCATCAAGCTAAGAACTAGCGGATGCTACACATGTTTCGAATATTACAGGTTCGCATACCCGTTATGATTATATTCCAAGATATGCGATCTCTGCATCGAATCTCTTCAAACAAAGCTCTGGCCTCTTCCATCTTCCCTTGTTTACAAAATCCAGTAATCATAGCGGTCCTCGCCACGTCATTCTTTTGCGGCATTCTCCCAAACACTTCCCGTGCTTCCTCATACAACCCATTCTCCAGCAACCCATTGATCATCACAGTCCACGACACCGCGTTCTTCCGAGGCATCGCTTCGAACAGTGCCCTCGCGCGCCCAATCCCACCCTCCACTCTGGCGTACGCATCGACCATGGCGGTATACGACACGACATTCGGATGCGGCATCTCTTCGAAGAGCCTCTGCGCATCCCTCACGCGTCCGAACCTCGCTAGTCCCGAGATCACGGCGTTGTACGAGGCAGCGTTCTTCTCTGGCGCCGCGGCGAAGTAGCGAAAAGCGTCATCGAGGTCGTCGTTTTGGATGCACGCGGCAATGATGGAGTTCCAGGAAACGACGTTTCGCAGCGGCATGGAGTGAAAGAGTGTTTTGGAATGTTGGATAAGGCCGTTTTGTGAGTAGGCGGAGAGCATGGAGTTCCACGTGACAAAGTCTTTGGTGGGCATTTCGTCGAACAGTTTGCGCGCGGCGTCGACTTTTCCAGCGCGTGAGAGGGATGTGATCTTGAGATTGGCGAGGTAGACATCGCGAGTGGAGGAGAAGAGCGTGGCAAGCAGAAAGAGGGAGTGTTGTCGTGCAAAGATTGGGTTTGTCAGCGAAACTGAGACTATACCAGTGAGCATGGAGTTTCTGCAACTCCAACTTTTGTAGTTCCTTTTGTTTTATATCGTTGTATCTGCCAAATATATCTTACAGTAATTATCCAAGGTCTTTTCATTCTCTAATCAAGATATTATAAAATTTCTTTGACATTTTGGTGATTTAGTAAAATAAATCACATGGGTTTAAGCTTTTGAATTTTATTTTTCTTTCTAATTTGACTAAAGAATAATGAGCATTGTCTAATCAGAAAAAGGCCTTCAATATTACCAAAAATTCTCTCCTAATAAAAACTTTGGTGCTTTCTTGATTTTCAGTCCTTACAAGAAAATAACAATGTTTAAAAAATGTTTTAGAGTAACCGTTTATACAGGATGATGATAGATTGGCCTTGGGGCTCCAACAGAAATAAAATAATTTGATTTATACTTACATTAGTATGTTATTTGATTTTGATTCTCAAAGATTTTCTGAACACAAGATGATAACACTTTTAAGATTGTTATTTAATACTTCGACTTGTCCCTTGTTAGTATTTTAAACATTGTTATTTGTTTCTTTTGAAAAATATCGGTGAAATAGAATTTGCGACATGAGATAGTTATTTTCCGTCTATCAGATTGTATTATCATAATAACGTTATTGTATTTCGTGTGACATTTCTCTATGTAAGTATGATGGAGCTCTGAAATTGAATATACAAGATAGGTAATCTACTTTGGAATTTTGAAAGAATTCGTTCTTCCTAAAATACATCCTCCTTGATCAATGATGATGTTTAAATACCGTCCAATTCTGCTAAAAAAGATAAAATTAACAATGAGTTTCTGTTTTCTTCTTTTCCTTTTCAAAGCTATGAAGTATGAACAAATACAACTAACTTTAAACTAACAACTATCTTGCCACACTAAAAATACAAAATTATCTTGCCACGGCCAAACAAATGAAAAATCACCAGGCATCCATGATGACCTAACCTTGACAGAGTAAAGAGCAAACCACCAAATACAGTATATATATATATATATATATATATATATATATAGAGAGAGAGAGAGAGAGAGAGAGAGAGATCAATGAAGCAGGTGGGGTCGAAGTACGCAACACAACAAGCAGAGGCAACCATTACCAACAACTTTTTTTACCAGACAGCCCAGGACCCCACATAAATACTCTCTGCCCTGTCGCCCGAAAGGTCAACTCATTATGCTTTTGATCTGAGGATCCTTAGCTTCCAATGCCTGCATGCAACCCTAACAGTTTAGTCGTTACTTTTTAAGATCCAATCTTATGTTTCAGTAAAGTGAAAGGAGTCAGCAACGTCAAAGTGCACGGCAAGTTGCACGACAGCTGAACGCACGGCTTCAGACGATGGTGCAACAGAAGTGGGTAGATGGGGTAAACAAATTGGCAGATACTGTTCACTTTCCTCAGGCGGGCAGAAAAAAGAGATCACGGATCGGCAGAATATGAATCTGTGTACATAAATGATACCAAGATGTCACACAGTATGTCCATTCAATAATTTTAATAGCGCTTAAAGTCCAAATAGCAGTTGACATCCCCCGAGACCAATCAATCACCGATTATAAATTAAAAGAAAAAAGAAAAAACTACATAGGCTAAAAAGTAAAGAATAAGCACCTTAGAATAAGTCGCCTCAAAAATGGATCACTTATAACCTGCGCCCATACTAAATTCATGGTAGTTGATGAGCAAAGACTTATTTCCCACTCAGTGAAAGCATTATCTATTATGTTCTCTGCTTCATTGTACACATCCTACAGGTTAACAAAACACAATTAGACCAACGATAATTGAAGTTAACTACAGATATGTTAAAGATTACTCGTGTTGCTTACTGTATCAGCCTCATTAGGGAAGACACCAATCATTTGGCAGAATGCTGACAAAGGACAAGTCAAAAAAAAGGTAAATTGGCTTCCATTATTGGAATTTACATCAGATGGATTCTTGAAAATTGGTCTTAAGGGTGAAAGGAATAAAGCAGCCGTTTCACCCCTTTCAGCGCCATGTAAAACCTGCAAAAATTTGTGATGTACACAATCAATCAAGGCTTGTCAAAGAAAATACCATGGGTCAATCAATTCTCAAGCCTAAGATTAACCGCATCCAATTTCCTACCAATTCCAACTTCCAACACATTTGCTATGGAAGAAGCCAACAAGCAAATATCCTACGCCTAAAACGAACTATAAAATCATTATATAACCCAGAAAGATGCTGTATTTGTCAGTTTTTTTGGTAAGCACACACGAATCATTGATAGTGGTCCTTTCTTTCCATCCATTTAACTCTGTCCTTGAAGAAAGTTAAACATTCATATTCAAATTGTAGAAGTTCAACAAGGCAGGGTTTCTGTGGTTGGTTAGTTAAAATTCAATTTCAAGGATTTTGACAAACCCTTGGACTACACAGTAATAAACTAATTACAAGTTTTATTAAGCCATTAAAAAGTACAATTAGATTCTGGGAATATCCTGAACAGCTCAACCTAACAAAGTTCTCACGCAACTCATACACAAGTTCTGAGTTATGACAAACCTGCCTTGAATGCATGGCTGTTATCACTGTCAATAATCAAAAAAAGAGGTTTCCGAGTGAAGGGGATAAGATCGCCAGGGTAGAGATTATTTGTACCTGATAATTTGAATAAAGCACATGTAAATGCAGCATCATCAGATATACCTTATTCTATATATCATTTCATTTAAACTAACCCAAAAATTGAGAAAATATAAAATTCTTTTAACGTTTCCTTGAACAATCTGAACAGAAATTTTATAGAGAATAGAATCAGAGCATC